CGCCAGGGCCCTGACAGCGGCCATGGCGCGGGGACAGCGCGGTCGAAGGGTCAGGCGCGCCGGAGGGGCGGGGCCGCGCCTGCGCACTCTCGGGCACGAGCGCGCCTGCGTAGTGGCCCCGGCTGGGCCGACCGGGAGGTAGGATGTCTGTCCGATGCGTCCAGATGGATTTTAACCCCTTTTAGCAAACTACCCCAAGTAACTGCCCCACACCAAACTCGTGTCCACACTGATGTCCTGAGCGCCTGCTCCTTCCTCAGTGCGCTCGTTTACATCGAGGCCCAGCCCACAGGCGGCCCGGGTGTTACCATTTCCGGTCCCAGGGTGGAGAGCACCGTTTCACGTTCAGGAGACAGGACAGGAATGAGGCTCGTGCCACCTAGCAGTTTGGGGGTGCAGACACTGCCCGGAGACGAGGGACAGATGGGAGGTGGGGCGGGGCCCTTTTCCGACCGAATCCCCTCGGCAGCTCTCCCTGGGGGTTTGAAGCACAGGTGCGGCTGACGCTGTGACTGAGGGGCTACTCTGGCACACCCCCGCTGTCCGAACCCACAGGGAGCAGCTCTACAAGGCAGCGCAGGGCTGGGGAAACTGCTTTAACAGGGCTTTAACAGACGGCATATAGGCCCTGCTTCTGGCAGGAAGGGCTTAAGCTCAGTTCTGAACATAAGAGGGCTCAGCGCAGCTCCAGGGCACAGCGTTTGCCTGGCTCACCGGAGGCCCCGAATTCAATCCCCATCCCTACGAAAACATCATGGAAGTGGAATGCACCACTGCAGACTGCGCACCAAACACACTCGCTGGCTTTGGTCCTGGAGGCTGGAAGGGCTGCTAATCCTTGGCGTGATCCTGCCGGGCGGCCTGCAGAGGCCGTAGTTCTGCACACTCCACACCCAGCACAGCCCCCAGACCCCTACTCAGCTGCACGGCACTGGGCACGTGTGACACCGAGACCTGGGGCCGGAGTGATGCTGCCTGTACAAAGCGTGGGGCAGGTGACCTGCTGAGGACTGTCCAACCTCTGCTGCAGGTACGTCATGGGAGCGGGCACCAGCACTTCCCATACATCCGGTCTGCGGCCTCATGGGCATGTGCCTGGGGCCCTGCTAGCACTGCACTGTGCCACACGTGCACATGCACCCACCTGGGCCTTTGTGGCCAAGGCCAGGGTAAGACCAGGAGTCGGGTGGGGTGCAGAAACGGGTGGCTGAGCAGCAGCAGGCAGGGAGCTGACATGTACAGGCTGCACTGGCAGGGCTCGAGGCTGTCCCACCTTGGTGCGGCCCCCACATTCCCCTCCAGGGTCTGAGCCCCACAGGTGCCCCTGCCCTGACTCTGTTCACTCAGGCCCTGCATGCTTTGCTTCTCACATTAGGGTGCATTATAAACACTTTCAACTCAGTTTACACTTAACCCTGCATTTCCTGAGATCATCCCCAGGTCGTTGTATTCAAAATATAAATAACTCACAGGGTTTACAAGTCCACCAATGTGAGCCTCACAAAGGCCACACTGACAACTACCACCTGCAGTTCCCGGGCCCACTGTGCACAGGATCTGCCAGGCTGGCCAGATGGGTTTATGGGTGGTGCAAGCGCTGTCTCAGCATCTCATGCACCCCAGCCCACCAGTCCCTCTCCTCCGCACGTGCCAGCTAAGCCAGCATTGTGTCCTCGGCTCCTCCGAGCAGGTGAAGACTGTCCTCGTCAGAGGTCTCGGCGTCCTCATCTGAGGTCTCAGCGTCCTTCTCCAGCCCTGACTCTTGCAGGGTGCGCTTTGTGCCCCGCTGCCTGGAGACCGCCAGGGCGTACCGGATGCTGTATCGGTTCCAGTCACAGCTGTGGACACACCGCATTGGTTCAGCACAAGGGTCCACAGACCTCCACTCCCCCCAAGAGCCTGGCCCTGTGCCCCCACCCAGCAGGGGGCAGACACACTTGTGTCCCCTCTTCCTGCCCAGATGACCTGCTTCCTAGCCCTGGCCCCAGCCCACAGCAGCCAAAAGTGCTCCCAGCCAGGGCTCTCTGCTATACAAAGCAGCCTCCGGAACCCACAACTTCCCAGAATAACAGGATGAAGACCTGTACTGCCCACGGAACTACCCAGGGAGACACGGCTTGCAGAACCCCTACCACATCCATATGCCGCCACCACACACACGTCAGCCCAAACAGACAGGTGGGACCCTCCCCTGAGCCCCGGGAGCAGGGACGCCTGCACCTGGGAAGGCCTGGCAGCCCACGGTCTCCTGGAGCAGGTGACACATCAGTATCAAGCCCTGCCAGCAAGCAGGGCACCGGGGAGAAAAAGCATGTGGAGAAAGAGCCTGTTCTGGACTCAGACTCACTCACTACAAAGACACAGGATTACACCTGTAATTCCAGCACTTGGGAGGCTGAGGCAGGAAAAGCCCAATCTCAAGGCCAACCTGGCCTATACAGAAAAAAAAAAAAAGACAAAAGGACAAAGTGACAGGCAGAGAATAGGCCTTTCAAAATCCCAGCAGGGACACCTGGCAACGGCCTTGAGACAGCGGGAAGGACACTGCCCCTGGGTGGGGCAAGCTACGCAGTCTTCGCTATCTAGGCCCTGTTTGGGGTAGTGCTGCTCTGGGGACAGGAAGCAGAACCACCAGAGCGCCATCTGGCGTGGGGAGGAGGGGGGCGGCCTTGGCCAGCAGCATCCCCGGCCCTTCACATGCTGTCACCATTGCCCTGCTTTCCTGCTGGGGACACCGACACAGAGGGGCCACACCCCAGCAGCAGACTGCCCAGACACATCAGGTGCTCACGGTACCACCTGAACAGAGCCGCTCACCACCCCACCTAGCACACCAGAACTTCTGTCAAGCCCAGCAACACAGGGAGCAAGCCCTGGCACTGACGTGGGGCCGTGGCACGGGCCCCCGCCCTCCCGCCAGCCCTCCTACACGCACAGCTTGGCCACGTCGTCCAGGTGCCGCTGGATGCCCTTCTGCAGGAACTGGACCGTTGGCAGCAGCTGCCCTGCCCTGGAAGGGAGACACGGCTGAGTGTGGCCTGCTGTGCACAGCCCAGGCCAGCGGCCGGGTGCCACGAGGCAGCCACGACAGCGGGGCACTGCACCTGCACTTCAGCTTCTGCCCGTGCAGCATGAGCAGCTTCTGCGTCCAGATGAGGTAGAACTCGAGGTGCCGAGAGACCTCAAAGGAGGAGGCCAAGAACTCCAGCAGCTTCTCCACATACAGCTCGGGCAGGGACGCGCTGACGACTTCAACTGCGGAGGAGAGCAAAGCTGTGTCTGCTCTGCCGAGCTGGCGCTGCCCACCCACCCGACCAGGCTCGGGCACTCACTCTCTGCCCAGGGCACGGCCTCGAGTGCCTCCTGTGTCAGCGTCCTCTCGTTGAGCCGGAAGGCCATGAGGATGGCGCGGGTGAATTCCTGTTGCCGCAGTGCCTCACGTACCCGCCCAGGGGTGACGCTGGTGTCCAGCTCGAAAGGGTCAAAGAGCATCCGAGCATCCAGTGAGAAGATGAGCAGCCCCTCTGTGCTGGTGGCCGCCCAGCAGCGCCCTGGGGTGAGCAGTGAAGAGGCACCCTCAAGACCTACAGCACACCTCCCTCCCATTTTCATAGAGTACCCTCCAACGGTCCAAGCCCAAGAGCAAACGGACTTCGTCCCGGGGGACTGACGTGGACGCCTGTGTGTCCCTCTGCCGGCACAGCACCCACGGACATACTCAGCTCTGCAGGTGGCCCCTGTGGCAGCTGCTCAGGACACCACAGTGCCTGGACGGGGCCACAAACAAAGCATGGGAACAAACAAAAGTGGCTGCAACTCAGCAACACCAGAGATGCGAGATCAGGGGGCGCGGAGATGCGGGGGAGCCCTGGGCCCCGCACCCAGCGTGCGGACCTGGGCCCACAGGGCAAAGCGGTGGGCCTGTGAGCTGTTCACCCCTCGCCTTCCACCCTGCTTCGGGGTGCCAGCTGACACCCTCACACTGCTGTTCTGCGGCAGAACCCGTGCGTGTAAGAACACAGGTGGGCAGGAAAGACCACAGCAAGGGGAGGGCAGCCAGCCTGAGGTTGCCCTGGGCCTATGGCCTGTGAGCAGTGGGGCTCCATCCTCCCCAGCTGTCCAGCCTCAGGGACAAGGGCAACGATGGAGCCGGTGGGGTTCTGTGACCCGTTCCTACGCACAGGGGACGGCGCTGTCTAGGGCCCACCCGCTGCTCTGTGACGAGGGCTCACCAGTGGGAGAGAAGCACAGGGAAGTCACCCTGATTTCAGGCTTGAAGTGGCGAGAACTCATGTCACCTGGGAAAGAGAACCAGCTGCGATCTCTGGCGGCAGCTCCAGGCTGCTCCCTGCCTGGCAGCATGGAGAACAGCAGCCTCTTCCCCTCAGGCGGGAAGAGCCCTTCATGTCCCGCTGGCTCCACGGAGCTGTGTATGGGGACAGGCCTGGGACATGTGCCCCCGAGGACCCTGCCTGCAGACACGTGGCCAGAAGGCCCCTGCCAGCCCAGGGCTGCGCCTGTTGTTCCCCATGGCGCCCCGGCCCACTCACAGAGGCGCACTGGCCTTCGGCTGACAGCGCCCCACCAGGATGGCCGACGTGGGACTCAGCTGGCCCAAGTCTTCCAGAACACCGGTGGGGCACGAGCACCTCTACTTCTCCGTGCCCACAGAGCAGAGGGCCAGCCGGCCCTGAAGCAAATGCATGGGCCTTCCTGGCATGACCGCCAAGGCTTCTAAAGGTGCCCAGCATCCAGCCAAAGGCCACAACAAAGGCAGCTACACACCCCACAACTGCAGCCCAAGCAAAGGACAACGGCCACCGCAGGAAAGCAGCGGAGGCAGCAGGCAGGACGGGGCTTCTGCGCACCTTTCCTCACTCCTGGCAGCGGAATGGCCACCCCCTCCTCCTCCCCAGCGTCTTGGTCAATGAGCGCCAGGTTGCCGAATTCCGTCATCTTTCTTCGGTTCAGAAACTCCTAGGACAGCAAAGGCTGTGGGCATGTGGCCCTCATGAAGCTGCTCCTCCCCAGGCCCCCACTGACAGAGACAGAGGGAGGGGTGTTGTGGCCCTGACCTCAGGACCCTCCTCAGTGCCTAAAGCCGGGACGGGCTAGCACCATCACCACAGCCACCACCAGCGCAGGGACGGAGCTCCGGCCCCTGGATACTGGCTCTGCACTCAGGCACACACGGAAGGTGCTGCCCCAGGCCAGGGCTGAGCAGGAGGACCCAGGACCCGAATTCTGCTCAGAGGCTCTGTTTTGGAGGACACTTGAGAGGACAGAGCCTCAGCCCAGGGCCGGACAGCACAGGTGGCCTTCCCCTGCCCCCTCAGGGCTCAGGCACTCCCCCCGCCCAGGCGTCCAGCCTTCTGCGTGGCTGTAGCCCTGGCCCATGCACTGACAGGACAGCTCACGCACACCTGCCCGCTGCCTGGCACTGCCACTCACCTCCATGGCATCCAAGGAGAGGTTGCAGGAGAGCTCAAATCTCTTTACCAGGATCTGCTCGCGGACATGGTAGAGGCACACGAACTTGGACACGCCCCCTGCCAGAATGCTCTGGCCGTCCGCAGAGTAGCACAGCGTGGTGAAGGCCCTGGGCAGGGATGGACGCAGCGCTCAGGGTGGCACCAAGAGCCTCTGCAGGGTGGCTCTTTCCAAGCCAGCTCGAGGACACTCCCCTCAGTGGCCTCCACCACCCGGCACCAAGGCCCTCACACTGTGCCCTGCGTAGCATGCTGCTCCTGAGCAGGGGGCCTGCCTTGTGGCACCACACGCAGCCCTCCTGCAGCCCCACAGCGGGCCTGCTGGGCCTGCAGAAACTGGGCCAGGTGCTCACTGCCTGGTGAGCCAGGACTCAGGACAATGACCTTGGGCCAGCACTGCTTCTCAGATGTGACTCCAAGACCACAGAGGGTAGAACGAAGGACTAACCAGACGCACTCCAAACTTAAAACTCGTGTCAAGAACACCCCGAGTGGGAAGACTGCTCCCAGCATGGGAGAAAATCTGCAGGTCTCCCCCGAAAAACGTGTCCTGGTGCCAGACACCAGGCTCCGCCTGGAAATGGGCCAGAGGCCCAAAAGCATCCTCCCCGGGAAACTCAAATGGCCAGTGAGCAGCGATATGAACCTGGCCGCCTGAGCAGTGGAGTGGGGGAAAGCAGGCACTGGCAGGGGTGAGGGGCGTGGTTGGGGGCGTGAACGGTGCAGCCAGGGGCCCACAGTGAGCACAACCACTGTACACACTGGTGAGGACACAGTGTCCCCATGAGGCTCCGCTGCTGAGCAGGATCCAGGGGCCTGGCCCACACCCACTGTCGCCACTGGACACATGCCTGGGCCCGGCCACCTGCCAACACGCCACTGTGCCCACACCCAGGGCCAGGCTGGCTGAGCGGCAGGCTGCAGGTGCAGTGCCCCCCCGGCTTCCCCGCCAGGCTGCCGACATCTGCAGTAACTCAGTTCTGGAGCGGGAGACCGGGTCGTCGGGCTGTGCCCGCTTCACCCAGCAAAGCCCAATCCACCCCCTGGGCCTGTGGGGCTAGAGCGCAGGCACAGGCTGTCTGCATCCACAGAAGCGACAACCACGCCAGAGAAGAGCAGTCACAACTGCCGGAGACGGGGTCTTGGGTGTGAGAACAGGAGGGCGAGGAAGCCCACAGTCCACGCACGCGCACACGCCCCAGGGCTGGGCCGCGCAGCCACTCACTTGCCCTTGGCGGAGTGCTTGGCCGTGACCTTGTCCAGCTCCTTCCGGCCTGCCTTGAGGTCAGGCCTGCCCTCAATGGAGCCAGTCTGTACAGCATTCTCAGGGTCCCAGAAGGTGATCTGCGAGTTCAGCGTGGCCACGGCCAGCTCCGCACCATCGGGCCGGAAGGTCACAGCCAGGGCTAGGGAGAAAGCCACCTCAGACCCAAGGAAGACGCCAGACATCTCAGGAGCCAGGAAGTGCCCCCTCAACAACCCTGGTGGGCAAGAATAATGTGCACCCCAGCCAGGAGCCGGGCACTGCCGGGCACCATGGTGGGTGAGGCCTGAGCATGGCCCATCCATACAGTACCCTGGGTTGGACACAGAGGTTCGCTTGAGGACAAGGTTATCCCAGGGAACATGAGCAGTGACAGTACACAGGAGACCAGTGACAGGGGTCACGGGGAGCTGACCCCTTGATTGGCTGCAGGGGCTCGAGAAAGGAGGGGGCAGCCAGGGCCCCTACAGCAGCCTCATCCTTCTGGGTGTGCAAACTAGCAGGACACTGCCACTCAGAGGCAAGTCATGACAGCTGCAGAAAGCAGCCAGCACAATGTGACTACCATGACGCTGCCTGGGGGTTGGGGGGCTCATCCCCCCACACCAGGAAAGCACACCAGAGGCGGAGGGGAGACCAGAGCACGACCAGGCAGGGGCATGCCACGTCAGCTCACCATCAGAAGTGAGGGTCAGTGTCTCCTTAGTCCTCCAGCTGTCAAACATGTCCCACAGGCGCACTGTCTTGTCCCAGGAGGCACTGGCCAGAATGGACTTCATTGGGTTAAAACACAGACCACTGATGGGGCCCTCGTGACCGGACAAGACCTACGGCAGCAGAGAGGCTGGGAAGTGACGGGGGACAAAAGGCTGCTGCTGCCCCAGCCAGCCCTCCTGTCATGCTGCTCTATGCCCTGGTCCACCCAGCTCCCCACTGTCCCAGGCAGCAGGCGGTAGGCAGCAGGCGGCAGGCGGCAGGCAGCAGGCGGCAGGCGGCAGGCGGCAGGCAGCTCCTCCTGGGCACCCAGCTCTGCAGAGCACGGCTCTGCGAGGACACCGGTCCTTACGTCGAGGAGCCTGCCTGTCTGCATGGACCACACGAAGATCTCAAAGGAGTCCTGGGCACCCGCAGAGACGATCTCCCCACTGGAGTCAACAGCCACGCAGGAGAACTGGGTGGGGCGGGGAGACGTGAAGGTCCGGAAGTTCCGGTACCTACCGAGAAAGCCAGGCCCAGGTCAGCGGCCCACGCGGGGGTCTCTGCCCTCACCACCAGACCCCCAGCCGGAGGCCCTGCCCAAGGACCAAGGCCTCACCTGTGAAGGTCAAAGGCTCGCACAGTGCCATCCATGGACGAGGACACGATGACGTAGCCACTGGAAGTAAAAGTCACGCCAGTGACCCCACTTGAGTGCTCCGTGAAAGTAATGAAGCAGAAGCCACTAAGGGTGTTCCACACCTTGACCTGTGGGGGCACAGGAAGTGGGTGAGCACAGCCACCCACATGAGCACCCCTGCTCTACCCTGGGAGGACAAAGGCACGCGGTAGTGGGTGATGGGCAGAACAGTGAAGGACACCTGCTTGTGCAGAAAGGGGGTCACGGACACCAAGCCCTCTCCGCTCGAATCCGCTCAACAGTGAGCCTCAGGAGCTGGAGATCCAGGCCGAGCCCCATCCGCTAGGATCCCCCGGCCCTGCCCAGTGCCCACCTTGCCATCGTCCCCGCCAGTGACAATGTACTGCCCGTCAGGGGAATATGCCAGCGACACCATGCTGTTGAAGTGGCCCTGTTGCTTGAGCACGTAGGACTCACTCTGCCACTCCCACACCAGCAGCTGGCCCAGGCCTGCAGGCACAGAATGGCTGGCACAGCTGCCCTAACTCAGCCCAGGGCAGAGGGCCCCTGAGTCCCTGACCAGCCCTGTGACCTGGGTCACCCCCTGCTAAGGCTGAGGAGGACCAGGCACAGACAGCAGCCCCACCAGACAGCGGGTGGGACACGGGCCAGGTCCAGGATGCCCGGGAGGGTCTAGAACCTGGCATCCAGGGGTTAAGGTCCAAGAGCCAAGAAGGGGGCCACCAGCAGGAACTGAGATCCCAGCAAGTCCACTGCTCCAGAACTCAGGAGCAAACCTGGGAACCCACCACCTCCCTGCAGCCGCAGCCCACACTGCTGGGCCCCAAAGTCCCCCATGCCCACCCTGCTCCACCTCTGTCGCTGGGCCAGAAAACAAACCTGAGCAGCCAAAGGCAATCCAGTCCCCAGAGCTGTTGATGGCGACCGAGGAGATCCTCTGGTCCGAGATGCTAGGGGAAGTGCTGGCGGGTGAGCAGGGACGCCGAGCATGCACAGCCGCCCCTTCCCTCCCACAGCACTCAGCACCAGGCCACGGGTGCAGCCAGCATGGGAACTTTCTGTGTTCCAGATAGAAGGTCAAAGGAAAAGGGGACAACAAAACTAACGCCAGCAGGCACACTGGTGCCCGCCTGTAACCTCAGCTACAGACACTGAGGCAGGAAGACCTCTACACAGAAGCAAGCCAGAGCAACACAGTGAGACTTTCTTGACATGAAAACCTGAAAGGGGGTTCGGATGTAGGCTCCCTGGGCCACAATGAGAAAAAACAACGCCACAATCAGCTCGGAGACCAAAGCCCATGGCCAGAACAGGGGGCTCATCAGCCTGCACGGGGTACACCGTGCCAGTGAGTGGGTGCGAAGCCCAGAGCTGCGGCTCACCTCAGGGAATGGATGAGGTTGAACTCCGGGAGCTCGTGCAGGTGGAAGATGCCAGATGTAAACCCGGTGACCAGGAGGTGCACCTTCTTGTGATACGCCGCAGCAGTCAGGCTATTGAAGTCTCCTTCCTTGTTGAAGAAGTACCTAAACCGACAGATGGTAACTGGGCTGCGGACCGTGGCCACACGCCCCAGGTCACACCTCGCCACACCCTGGAGACCTACTTGGCCAGCCTATGGTACTTCACTTTCCCCTTCCTCTCCTCCTCGGCTGGCACGGCCTTCCCTCGGATGGTGGTCTCCCTCTCGGCCCCCTCTTCCTGCTCCTCCTCCTCCTGCTCTCGCCGTAGCAGGTCTGCCTTCCAGCCAGTGGGGGCTTTCAGTCTCAGGCCCTCGGGCGGGGTATCACACTGCCACACACAAAGGGCTCCATCCTGGCTGATGGAGTATAGCTACAGGGGCACACAGGGACCCAGGTCATCCACCCCACCTCCAGGCCAAGAACCTTCTCTCCCAGGCCAGACCCACTAACGCCCCCTTGAACTAGCTCAGGACGAAGGGACCTAACAGCTCAGCTACTCAGTTGTCCCTGGGTCACCCTTGAGCTAGGGATCTTGGGTAGGACGTACATCCAGGCTGTTGGACTCAAAGAAGCAGGCCACGATGGCGTCCTTGTGCCCGCCCAGCGCGTAGTAGATGAGGTTGTCCCAGCGCTCGGCTCCAAACACCCAGGTGGACATGTCCTTGCTCCCAACCACAAAACACCTGGAACAGAGGGACACAGCTGCAGCGTGGTGGCCATGGCCATGCAGCCTTGCCAGCTGGTACACCACTGCGTCCATCACAGGCCCTCTCGAGGACAGAGCTGGCTCCTCAGGAGCCCCGGATGCAGCCTGAGAGCCCGATCCAAGCAGGCTCTGTGAATGGCACCGACAGTGTCGTTGCGGGGCACAGTGTCATGCGCTGGACGGCGCTGGAAGGACAGACACACAGCCTGCCTTCTCCCTGGCAGCCTGGGAGGTGCAGGGACAGTGCCAGTCCCTTGAGTACCTGCAGCCTTTTCCTGCAAAGCCAGACCCAGAACGGAGGAAAAAAAAGCCAGCAACTCCACAGTGTGTTCAGGGTAGGGACGGTCACAGGTGGTCAGGGGTGGTGGCCTGGAAGTGGCAGCATCTGGCAGCTCCCCAGCTAGACAGCGCCCACGGAAGGTAGACACATCTCCATCGGGGTCTGACTCACATGGAGCTCAGGGGATCAAGGAGTCCTCTCTCCAGGGAGAAAGCGCCCGGGCCTCACCTGGAGTCATCCGTCCAGTCGATGCATGTGGTCTCATCATATGGCCCAAAGTAGGTTTTGTCCAGGACAAAGGCATTGAATTCTCGCTTCTTCCCAGGGGCGTGGTACATCTGAGCAATGTTGCCCTTTGTGACAACAAACTTCCTGCAGCAGGAGAAAGGTCACAGGTGACAGGAGCAACAGCAGTCCAGACTTCGCAGAGCTGCCAGGCCCAGCCCACCCCAGGGCCTGAGGGCACCCATCCACTGTAGGACAGAGAGATGGTGGGGAAGAGACCAGGACAGATACTGGCTGGCTGCATGCCCAGGTGACCACCCAGAGCCCAAACAGGAGGACGTGGGAGCCAGCCTGGCTGTCGCTGCTCTCACCTGCCATCTGGGGAGAAGGAGATGCTGTGCACAGAGCCCTTGAAGTGGAAGTGGTGCAGCACAGACCTGCAGACCAGGCTGACCAGCAGCGCTTCGCCCCCTGCAAGAAGCCAGCATGTGACTTCGAGTCACCCGGGAGCCCGCAGCCATGCGCACGGTCATCGTGAGAGTCCACGTGGATGCAACATAGAAAGGGGCTGCCTGTGCCTGCTCTGGGACCCTGAAATGAGGGCCTGAGGGCCAGGAGGCCCAGCTGTGTTCCCAGTGATCCCACCGGTACACAGGGCCGAGGGACACCCAGCCCACCCAAGCACGGCTATCTACGGCCCCCAGACCCAGACGCAGAGGTGATGGGGAGAGGTCATCTTGGCCCATGCTAGCCCTGGGAGGACCTGCTCCTTGCCTCCTACTGCCCCTGCATCCCGTCCTTCCTCTCTCAGCCCTGCCCACACCAAGGACGATGGAGGGTGATCACCTTCATCAATGATGATCGCAAGCCGGCCATCAGGGGACAGCCCCACACACTTCACGTTGAACCTTGTGGCCAGGGGTAGGGTATCAGATTTGTTGCTGAAAAAAGAGGAACCGCAGTGTGTCGTAGGTTTTATGTCACTAGACCAGGAGGACAAGGCCCACCTTGTCCCAGCAGCCCACCCTACCCGGCAGTCCCCTTCCTGTGCCACGCCTGTCCTGTGCCACTGGACCCTGTGTGCCAGAGCTCATGGGCAGAAAAGGGGAAACGACAATGTCCCTGGAGGAGGACTGGCAAGACACACTGAACACGTTAGAGGTGGACCTGAGAAAACGGCGCCCCATACAAGTCAGTGTTATGGTCATTATGGTCTGTGTCTGGATGGCCCCCCAAAGCCTCATGAAGTCATGGGGTGGGCTTCTAGAGTTTTTGATTGATTCATGGTCCAGTGCTGGGACTATGGGTGTGAGTGCTACACCCACCCTGGGGAGGGAAGCCTGCATACAATATAAAGGAGGGAAAGAAGCTTGGCTGTGCCTCCCTTTTGCTCTTTCTGCTTTTGCTGTTTTCGACTGCCATGAACTGCTGCCCTCTGCCATGTGCCACTCTGCCTTAGAGCCAGCCAAGTATAGACTGAAACCTCCACGAACTGTGAGCTAAATAAACCTTTCCTTCCTTAATTTTGGTGTCAGGTATTTTGTCTCAGCAACGCCAAGAGAAAAGCAACCAAGTCAGTCAAGAAACCAGACAGAAGCTATACACCCAGTACATGGCATTCACCACAACGGCACACACACATAAAAGCTGGGTTTTCAGACAAATGGGAAAATACACAGAGCAATGAGATCTACCTCCACGTGTTGCACCCGGTTCTAGCTTTAGTACTGTATTGCTTGAATTTCTCTCAGCTAGTACTTTCCCATCTAGGCAGCCCTCACTAGGTGCCACTGGAATAAGACAGGTGCAGTCACCCCGTGGCACGCCCTGTACATGGGCTGTAGGCAGAGCAAGCACCACTGCCAACCCATCTCAGATGGAAAAAAAGACCAGGGCTATCCTGCTGGAGCTGTGGAGCAAGAGAGAAGAACCCAGAGGTCCCGAACAAAGGGGCTGCAGGACTGGCTCTCTCTGCCTCCCCTGCAACTCCACGAGAAACAGACCAGAAACGAGTTATGCGTTTCTTCAGAAGAAACACAGCCTAAACCTGAGCAACCAAAATCAACCTCTGGCTGGGGACTGCCCACTAACCCAGGAGGCCAAACACCACTGGAGCTCCCAAGCAAGCAGGGATCAGGCTGGCCTCCACTCCCCCAGGACCGGTGCCTACAGCCAGGGAGCTGCTAACCTCGAGCTGCACCTCTTGCCCACAGGAGAAGCAGGTGACACGTGACTGTGACCTTTAAGGGTAACACCGGGCAAGTTAGTCGAGACACCAGAAGAACAAAGCGTCCAGCAGGTAGTGCCGATGCCAACACACAACTCTGCCAATCCTTCAGTCTCTCGGGCTATCTTAATCCACAGGTGTCCATCCCATAACAAGGCAGGTGGGGGACACCACCTGCCTGCACATTCAGGCCAGCTGCCAATGCCACGAATGCCACACTTCAGCACACTTACTTCTTAAGATCAAACACAGTGACTCTGTTCCCCACAGGGCTGATGACTGAGTTTCCATCACAGGTGAAATTTAAGTTCCCACGCCGATAAACCGTACCCAGCAAATTTGAAAACTGGAAAGAAAATAAGCTGTCATAACACAAACAAAACAGTGTCCACTCCCTGGGAAGAGGCAAGTGGGGCATCTGGACAAAGATGACTCACAGGGCCAGACGGATGGGTCCCTGCTCATCCCTGGGGACATCGGCTGCCACAGAGGTGTAAAAAGCGCCCAAGGCACTGGCCAGGCAAAGGGAAGGAGCCCCACAGTTCAGCAATGAAAAGCCCTAGCAGTGGACTGGGGCCCCAGGGCCCCAGTGCTAACATCCCTTGTACTAACATCCTCTTTACCCGCTCACCACACAAGAGCAGTTGTTACACAATACAGTACCAGGGAGCAGAACGGCTCCTCCTATTCCACAACCTGAGGATAGAGCAAGGAGACGCATAGGGCAGGTTGTGAACTGTAAACCAGCCAGCTACTTACAGGCGACAGGGAAGATGTCTAAAGGGCTGGGGGGGCTGGAAACTGGGGGACGAGCAGCCAGCCAAGAAGGCCAGCATCTAGAGTGCTAGGTGGACCTCGGGGGAGGACTCCAAGCCGGGGCCAGGGTTCTGAGCAAAGGTGTCCCACCGCCCAAGGCGCGCTCGTGTTGTCTTGGGGTTTTGGGACTGGTGCTGGGGGATGCGCGGCCAGGGGTAGTACCAGACTTAGTGTGGACGGGCGCGTGGGACAGGATGGGACCCCAGGCAGGGCTGGCCCCCGGGGAGAACGCGCCCGATGGGTCGGGCAGGAGGGAGCGACCCGCGGAGGCCCGCACAAGAAAGCGCGGCCACAAGGGCGAAGGGGAGCGGGCCCTGGCCGCGACCGCCTCCCAGAAGAGCCACAGGTCACGCACCCCGGGGGTGCCCAGGTCGGTTCCGAGCCGCCTGTCCCACCCTCCGCCCCCTGCCTGCACTTCCGGCTCGCAAACCGACAGCACCTGACGGCTCACCGGGCCAGGACAGGGGTCACAGCAGAGCTGCCCCGAGCTGTGCCGGGCCGCGGCGCCCCGCCGCCCCCTCTGGCGCCCGCGCTCACCCGGTACGCGAACTTCATCTTGCAGCCGCACGTGTACGCCGGGGCCGCAGCAACTTCCGGGACGGGGCCGCCGTCCGGCACGCACTTCCGGGGCGGGACCACATGCCGGAGTCCGGGGCGGGGCTCGCAACGGCCCCGCCCCCAGTACCGCTTTCCCCGCCGGGTTGGGCTGGGCTCGGTGTCGCGAGCAGCGATGGGGAGAGCGCGAGGGCACGGGGTGCGACAGCGATCGGGGCCGGTGACCGCTGACCCCCGCGACTCGACGGCCGAGGGGCCCAGGAAGCAGGAGGATCCAGAACCACGGAAAGAACCGGGGATCCCCTTGCACCAAAGTGCGTAGGAACAAGAGCCTGAGTTCGGCCCTCCAGCCCTGCGGGTTACGGGGTAGGAAACCAGGAAACCCGCGCTGCTTCCCAGAAAGTCAACGGTCCATGCCGCGGGCTCAGGAGCAAGGCTCAGCTCCTCACCCCGTGTCACCGCGACAGAATGAGGCTCACAACAGCAGTTTCTTCTTAAAATGAGTATTTTTAGAATTTTAATGTTTACATTTTAAACAGTCTTCATACAGTGGTTTTAGTCTAACATTATATTACAGAACAGTGTGAAAAATGACTTTCCATAGTAAACCATGAAAATGGAATTAACACCTTCAGCGTCAAAGCCAACGGGTCGCCCTCCCCAGTCACAGAAGCCCAGCACATTGAACTGTAAGGATGCTGGCGGGTCCTACAGCCAGATACACGGGATGAGGAAACTTAAAGGAACATGTTCAAGAAAAGTAAAACTTAAAAATTATTGCAGATTTAAAGGTCACAGTTGAAAGTAAAACCAGCCTAGTTAGTTCTTTTATAAAAAGTATCACTTTTCCTTAGATGCAAACCTGGTGTTTAATTCCCTTTATAAATTTAACCGAATTTTAAATGCTAAAGAAAAAGTGAATACAAGCCTTGTGAGTGTTTTCCCTACTCTTTATGAGATGCCCATCCACCACGGACATCTGAGACTAACACACAAACCTGACCACTACAGGATGTAGATAGCTCGAAGGTAGGCAGATCGAATTCACCGTCTGCACGGCTCCACCCTAAAACCACCAGTTATAATCTTTCCAATCATGGGAGACCCCATGAAATTCACAAAAATTATAACTGATCTTTTCTGTTGTTCATGTTTACGTGTTCAACATATTCCCTGTAGAAGAGCTGCACAGTCTTTTCTTTTGAAACACACATTTCATACCTGGCTTAACTATTCAACATATGCCATGTCTGACTCAACAGAACCAGCCGCCTCACAGACAGAACCTCAGGACAGAAACCCACTGACAGCCTCCTCCTACTCTTACGACAGTTGAGAAACAGAGGACTTCCAAGTGTTTAATGACATTCTTTTGTCTTAAGGAATAAAAGGCAGAAGCACTTACCTTAGTTTGCAAAAGGTAGGCAATTACAGAGAAGGAATCTGTGATAGTTCTGAATTTACTGAGTTCCCAGGTAAGAAACGACCATAGACAATTTTTATTCCCCCTTTATTTGCTTACTGTAAATATATATAATTAGAAGATTTCCATCCTGAGAGAGCTCAGATACGAGAAAACCAAAGAACAGTGAGGTAAACCCTGGGTCCCGCACTGTCCCGGAGGTGAGGGAAACTGTGCTGCGCATCCAGCTCCGTGCTGACGAGGGGATGGGACACTTTTCTAACAGCACCAGATGTCAGAGACCTTGGTTCACAGGACTCAGCAGTCTGCAAGGCAAGCATTAACTCCTACAGCAGAAACCTTATTTCTGAGAACCTGAACTTGTATCGAGTCTCAAGTTCTAATCTGCCTAACCAGATGGATCACACTGATTAGTTATAAACCGCATATGAGGAACATACACTTCTGAAAAGTTTAAACAGATGGATATTTTTCTTCTTTACATGTTTCTCCAATTTCTAGCAATGAAAAAGCCATGGGGGCAAATCACACCACCTTTATTTATAAAATGAGGCAAAGGCCAACACAGAATACTGACAGGACTACTAGGTCACCTGGCTCCACACCTGGGTTATTCCCCAGCCCCGCCCCTGCTGGACCTACTGCACCTGCTCGCATTCATCTGGTCAGGTTCTGTTCCAAGCACACTGTGCCGGGGAATTCAGAGAACTCTACTCCTATGTACAAAAATACATTGCTTTGGAGAGCTGGAAAAGGGTCACTACATACAACACTTATTTACAAGCTGCGACTTCACACCAATAAAAACACGTTTATTTTGTCCTTGATTTTTGGTGCAACTTATACATAAACATTACATCAGTTAGTCTGTACTTTTAAAAATAATAAATCAACCATATGTACAATTAAATTTACAACCGAAAGTAAATCAGCCTGTTGGTAGGGTAAGTGGACCAGCAGAGGTTACTCCAGGCCAAGGCCTCCCCACGGCCAGCCCAGAACACCGCGAGGACCCTACTCCTCACCTCACGCAGAGCATCAGCCAGGACTTAAGGTGCACAAGATGTTGATTACACAGCTACACTTACGTGAACAGACTTTAAAGATGACAGAAAAGCAAACAGCATCTTAACTCACATATATAATGACAATTAAAATAAATATATATTTAATTCCAAGTGCATATGATAATCGACACTGGGGAACACAGGGACCAGAAACGTTTACACCTACGCTATCTCAACACTGCACTGCTCCTGTCTTCCTGGCCTGGTCCTTCTCTACCTTGAGCACGGCTCCCGCCTGTGGCTCTCCCAGTCAGCTGACTCCGGCACCCCAAGGCACAGAGGGTTATGCTCCCTCCCGACCCACCCACACCCCACCCGCTGGCCCTAAAAGGCGTTACTGGGGAGAGCAGGGCTGGGAAATCAGAAGACCCCCAAGTCCACTCCATCAGCCCAGAAGCTGGGCAGCCATCTGACCAGAGCAGACACAGGCACCACAGAAAGCCAGCGAGGCCTGCTGAGCGCCAGCACAGAAGACACAGGCTTCCATGTGGAGCCAGCAGATGCGCTGTGCAGGCAGCCCAGAGTAACAGTTCTACAGCAGTGAGCGTGAGTGAAGGAGCAGGGCTGAGAAGACACGGTGAGACACAAGCACAGAGACGGACGGTAAGAAAAGAAAATGGGTCCACACTGCAGACAAGATGAGGTGACGCTCTACCTCTGCCGGCCGGCTGCACAGTGCATTCCTTGGTACCTCTGTGGCCAAGCAGGGCTGCCAAGTCTGGTTAGAGCTAGCATGTTACAAGAAGAACAATCCAGTCACAGTCCCTAAAGTGCAATCACAGCAGTCTGTGGGGCCAGGCGACCGCAGGCTGCCGTCATGTCACGCTGACTTCCAGGACATGGTCGTCTTGGCTGGGGATGACCAGCACCTGCATGCCCATGCTGGAGTTGAAGACCTGGCCAGTGGGGAGCGCCTGCAGCCGGGGCATGGGCAGGCCCTTGTGCTCACTGCTGGTGGCCGAGTGCACGCTGCCTCTACTCCTCACGCTGCTGCAGTCCAGGTGGTCATCTGGGTGCTTGTCCACCGACAGGCTGTCATTTTCGATCCAGCTGTCTACAGAATACACAGGAAGTGAGAACAAGTCCTGGCACAATAATAAGAGGGACACATCATTCCTGTTAGCCCCAGAGGACCTCTGAAAGGACATCATCCCAGACCCTGCCCATACAGGGCCCCTCGCACACAGATGTAGCCCTCAGACCATGTGATAAGAGGCTTGGCTTCAGGTTAGTCTCTATCAGCAGGCGAGTAATTCCCAGTCTGCCCTGCACAGCACCAGCCTGTCCTGTCCACATGAAGCTACCCCCTCCTCCAATGCTGATTCAGTCCGACTCGGTGGTTCTGCCTTATGAGTGCCCCACTTTATGACGGAGCTAAAGCAATGCATGTGTGGTAAACTGTCCTTGGGACCTGAATTCTGATCTCCTAGGCTGGCAACACATGGTCTGATGTCTTAGTCCCTCAGCCCCACTCCATGGGGAGTGACCAGCACGACTCTGCCCTCTGCTACCCGCACTCTCTGGACATCGTGATTTGTGTTTCTGAATCCCAACACGCCTAGCTCTGCATGTGCCTGTGGCACAGTGAGCTCTTTATCATAAACAGGCATGGGTGAGAGGACTCCACCCAGCCAAAGACCAAGAAAAGTGCCTGGCCACATTCTGGGAGGCGTGGCCCATAAGAACAGCTGCCAACTCGGGCTTAGTAAACACACATCTGGCCCAGGAGGCCTTCAGCCTGGGACAGGTCCATCTATAGGGTCCTTACCAGCATCCAGCTGGGAGGAGTGTGCAGAATGGTGCGGGAGGTACTTAAACAGCCGGACGTCAGGCAGAGGGAGGTAGCCCGCGAAGAGGGGCATCACCTCCATGTGCACTCTGTGAGTGGCCTGGGCAGCCACGGGCATGGAGATAACACCGCAGCTCTTCCCACACACTGCCCAGTTGCTGCTGTTGTCGACCACTGAAAGGAGGAGCAGAGGCTGTTCAGTACTCAACCGGAGCAAGTGGCACCATGCCAACCACTGCTCCAGGCTGGAGAGCACGTCTACCCAGGTATGCCTATGCCTTCACTGAGCACGCTAAGTCCTGGCCGTCAGCATGCAGTCAGCTCTCGTTTACACTGGACCACAGTGGAGAAACACAGAAAATCATCAATCGTGCAATAAATGAAGCACGGTTAGATCAGGCAGGTTAGATCAGGGCAGTGGTTCTGTTGGGGCAGGGACAGCACCAGAGCCCTGCACCCCAACCAGACCTTTGGGGCAACCACCTGTAGGTGAGGAGGGCACCACAAGCCTGCAGGGCTGCGTCCCAGGACCCCACAGCCTCGACACACAGCTGTCACTGTGAAAGTCAGTCCCTCAGAGCCAGCCTGCATCTGACTCTGGGGTCTCACACCCGACCAGGCACTTACCAGGCCCAGCCAGGGACAGGAGTGAGCAGCACCGCCTTGCCTCAAGCAGCAGACAAACAGTGGCAGCCCCAGGAGGATGTGAGCAGGCCAAGGCCAGCTCGCAGCAGGTGCAGGTATGTGAGTACAAGGCTGTCTCGGCTGGACAGAGGCCCAGCAGCACAGGGAGGGGCACTGCATGACAAGTGAGCGGGCTGCTGGGCCCTGAGCTCACAGTGACCCTCTATGCTCTCACAGCAGAGACTGCTAGCAACCCAGTAAAGTCCTTCCCAAAGCAGTCACAGTGGCCACGCCACCCAGCTCAGTGCAGGCGAGTATTTTGTTGCACGTGTGACGAGTCTGCACACCCAACGAAATGTGTGCAGGGGAAGGGGCCAGCCTCCAGCCTAGCCTTTGCTGTCCCACATGTGAGACCGGGAGCCCAGCCTGGCACAGCAAGGGTCACTGACCACTGCCCAGGGCCCTGGCCTCTGTGGGCATCGTGTCATGGGGCAGGGCTCTGTCACCTCTGTGGACTCCTGGATCCAGTAGTGCTACAAGCCCAGTCCAGAGCTGTCATGAAATGGTGCGGGCATCTCCAGCCCTGGGCACAGGGGTTTGCCGTTCTCACACAGCACTGCCCCCACTGCAGGAGAAGGGCATCAGGGCCCACGCAGGAGTGCTAGGCTGTGGCTGTACTGGACATACTGGCCACTGTGTCTTAGGGCACTCTTTTGGCTTGGAACTATGACTGATAAACAATGGGTCATGGGCCTTGGCTACCTGACAGATATTTTCTTCAAATGAATATGAGGCTATCACTTCTAAGAAAACTAACAGTATTTATTGCCAAGGATATACGTTAGACTTTAAGTAAAAATGTGAATTCCTGAAAACTTGCACTTGTAGCTGCAAGCTTGACAGAGCCCCAGTGCTCACAGACCATGCAGGGGACACCCGCAATGTGACCTGCGCACGCTGTGAAATGGCACACATCAGCATCTAGGAGACTGACCTACTTGGGAAACCGTATTTTCCAAATGACCAAGGCACAGTCTTACAGTCATGCCTAGGTAAAGATCCACTCGGAGCACAGCGCAGACCAAGGATTTAATGATGAGTGTGGTAACGCTGTCCAAGGGATACAGACTCCACCTATAACCAGTCTGTCAGACACGCCGGCTTCGCTGGCCCTGGGGCAGTGTCCCAGAGAACCCATAGCCTTGGGAGAGACTGTTACAATCTCTCCCCTTTCCTGGCTACAATCTGCTTAGGCTAGTCTCTTCATGGACTCCAGCAGAGGAAATACATCCTCAGGATAGAGTGGGTGCAGAAGGATGACATCCACCTACCTTCTGATGGCCGACTTCAGAGACGTGAAGAATGCAAAACATCATTCTTCCCACTATGCTTTCTTTTGTGTTGGGAAATAGTTTTCATGAATGACCTCATGTAACGGGTTTACTGCTGTGATTGTAAGTAAACATCTGGCTTATTGAGAAGCACTGGAATGAAGCAGCCAGGGAGGAAGAGGACAGGGAAGGGCCGGGGAGAGTACATGCCCAGACAGGAGGACAGTGCAAGCGAGGTGGCAGGTGACTGTGGGCCAGGCAGTGGAGCCTGGCCCTGCCTCAGCAGCAACAGCCAGGTCCTGGACCACAAGGAGAAGAGGCCCAGACAGCATGGGATGTGAGCTTGCTAGAACATTCCATGAAAACAAGCCTACCAAACAAGCACCTGTAGAATGTCCTCCTGGGACTGTACTCAGAAGACCACGTCTCCATGACAAGTCAGGAAAAGGAGTCTCAGGACCCACCTTCATACATCAGCTTCGTGCAGAAGTACTCGTCAGACCCTGTCAGCGCCTCATCCTTGTCCACCTCCAGGAGGTCAGTGAGCCGAGTGATGGATACTTCCAAGGAGCACAGCACGCCAGTCCTACAGTATTCCATGCCCGCGGGCGGCAGGACCTCTGCCTTCACGTTGTACAGGGTCTGGGCAGGGAGGGACAGACAAGCTCACACAGGGCTTAGAGGACCATGCCAGGATGCCACTGCAGCCATTTACCCAACAAGACATCTGCCTCAGACACCAGTTCTTGGGAAGTTCTCGCCCCAGGGCCTTTGGATCTTTTAAGTCAGGGACATTTTCAAGTACCAGAAGCAATATCCCTCTATACGTGATAACGAACCTTTCTGAGCTTCGGATGACACCAGCAGCCTGCTGCTTATCGATGTTTTGCTTCCTTTGCTCCCTCTACTCATCTGTACTTCTGAACCTGCCTGAGGTATTTTACAGCAGACCCCAGCCAGCCTGTCACTTCACCCCATGTGTCTGGTACTCACTACTGAAACATGGACATTTTCTTACCGAAGCACAAGCCCATTACCACAGCTCAGCAAAATCAACACAGATCCCCCACATCCCTCCAGGCAGTCCGAAGCCAAGTCTCTGTGGTCAGCCTCTCCGCAGCTCTCCTTCTCCCTGCTCTGAGGACCTCCGGTGGGGGGCTGGAGACCTGGACTGTCTCCAAACACATCACAAGGATGCATTTGTCTCGAGGCTCAGATGAGACCCAAGCGGAGACTGCGGCTTGCTCTGAAGTCCAACCCTAGCTCAAGCTCTGCTGCTCAGGGCCAGAGCAGCTGAAGGAGAAACCGGTTCCTTCAGGGGCTGTAGGTCGACGACTAGAAACAAATCCCTGCCAAACAAGCTCTCACAGCCACGCCGCCTGCCTGCAACAGGGTGTCACACGCTGCCTCGTGGCTGAGCGTCTGTTCGGCCCTGGTGTAAGGACAGCTGAAAAGCCACACGGAAAGAGGGACTTTAACACCTTCCACCCCCACCCCCAACACTAACTCACAGCAGGTCAGAACCTGGATGCAAACACTAAGACTACAAAGCTCTTAGAAGAAAAAAGGGAAGGAAACCTTTATCACCTTGCATGAGGTGCTGGGTGCTCAGATCTGAAACTAAAAGTCCAAGCAATAAAAGGGGGAAATAATTAGATTCTACCAAAATCTAGAAACTTCTGTGCATCAAAGGACACCATTAAGAAAGTGAAAAGACAACTCATGAAATGGTAGGAAATATATCTAATGATTTATATCGTTAGGAACTGAGAGCTGAGATGTATAAAGAACTTTACAGCCCATTTAAAAATGGGTGAAGGACTTGAATAGGCGTCTCTTCAAAAGGGACACACACCTGGCTGTGAACCATGACAAGATGCCCCCATCACTGCCCACTGTGCATGAGGATGCGCAAGCCAAGAGGCAGCACTCTGCAGCTGCCAGGTCGCTGTCACAGAGATGGCAGGGACACGTGCAGGGAGCACAGGGCCAGCGCCTGCAGCTTACACAGATCCTACAGATCCTCTCTACATTCTTAACCTGACCAGGAAGAAGCTGCCAGAAAAGTGACAGGGACACATGCCGACTGTCTACACTGAGCGACCAGGATACCATCCACAGAGCCCTCACTACCTCCAGGACCCCTGCTGTCCACGCAGCAGGAAGGGTCAGTCCTCACCCAAGGGTACATCGTGAACACTGACGTGGGAGCTAACTAAAGCTGAGGCTCAAAAGGAGGTGTCTGTCTGGTGAGACGGGGACAGAGGAAAGGCTGCAAGTGCAAGCCCTTCTCAGGGAAAACGCCCAAGGGTTTCAAGGAAAGGAAAGGAAAACCCCAGCATAGTCCAGTAACCTGAGTTACTCTCTGCTCAGCACCTTCTTGGCTCACTAAGCCGGCTTCTCTCAGCATGGCATTATCTCCACACTCTACAATATTATTGTACTTCATTTAGAAAACTAGACACCCGCAGAAAACCACAGCCTTAGGCCAGGTGTGGTGGTGCATGCCTGTAATCCCACCACTTGGGAGGCTGAGGCAGGAGGATCACTGTAAGTTCAAGGCCAGCCTGAACTCACTAGGGAAACTCTGCCTCAGAAAGATAAAAAGAAAAAGAAAAAAGAAAACCACGGCCCTGTCTGCATAGGAGCTGGTGACCGAGGTGGAAGAGTGCTAAGTGGCTTCCAGGGAGCTGCTCAGTCAAGGTGAGGAACGGCACCCATCTTCCACACTTGCCCTGGGGCAGCACTAGAGCACAGCCCCACGGGTGCCACCCGAGGACCCAACAACTGCACTCCCGAGCTCCGGACTCTACTGAGTTCCTCCTTTTGAAATTTAAGGCTATCAAGACTATGACGCCACCCTTCACGTCTGCACCCCACACACCACTCCCCAAATGACCCATCACGTACAAAGAAGCTCTCCACTTGGAATTCGTATGTGTAGGGCTTCAGGGAGATGGACAGCCGCTCTTCGGAGGCCGGGGAGAAGCCCATGGAGAACTGGCAGTGCAGGGCAGGGGGTGGCTCCTGCATCCACTTCAATTCCCAGATGAAAAACACCAACTGTTTGCTGTGGATGTGCTGCAAAGAGAGCCCTGTCACTGCACACACCAAGAAGCCAGAGAGGAGCTGACGTCCCCCTGCCCACCAAGGGAAGCGTGCGCCTCACTGTGCACCCGTGGTCTTACAACACCAGCCACCGCCCAGCACCACGGCCCCACCTGGTCCAGCCACAGACAACACATGACCCAGAGCCAGTGTTGGCGTCCTATGATTCTAAGAGCCTCACAGCACTGGGACCATAAAAATAGCCTTAGGAATATTTATATTTATGAGTCCATAATATACCCCATATAGATCTCCAAAATGGGAGATGTAACTGACATCTTTACTTCTGTGCTCATCATTTTGTATTTAACGTGAACTTGACTTAGAACTAGCACAGCCAGATGCGTAACCAGAACATGATGACTGCAGAGTCCACACTAGAGGATGGTGACAGGCTCAGCTAAAACAAGAAAACAATCACGTTCTGGCGAGAAAGTCTTTTGAAAATGCTGAAGAGAGACATTATCAGAAAGCCTCAGATTGTGTGAACATTTGGCACTTAACTGCAAAAGCACATGTGGAAAAGGGGCAGGAAGGGCCAGGGAAGACCTGGAGGTGGCCTGCTGATTCTCTGTTGTGGAGGCTTCCCCTACAACAAAGGATGGGTAACGACCTACAGAGACGCCCCGCACCCAGGCCTCCTCCTTCACCCTGTAATTGGCAGAAACGGGCCAGCAATCATTCCTGAGTCCACACGCAAGTCCCGCATGTGCCTGTGTTTGGATAAATCATGTGCAGAGTAGGCCCCGTGTGAGACTAAATTCTAAAAACACAAGATCAATCTATTTTCTAACACACTTGCTGCACCCTCAGCTGACCATAAGCCCACTTAGTGCATCACTGACTAACACAAACAGCAAACATCATGCTGACTCAGGCCTGCTCAACACACACAAGCTCCTCTGGGTTAACAGCGAGACCCCTCTCTGCACTCCCGGCTCAATCTCAAAGCTCGCCACCTCACTGTCAGCAAACTGCAGGGTGGCATCCTGCCACACCTGGCCCTAGAGGGCACTTACCTGTGGGGATGGCGCATTCAGTGGGGTCAACTGCAGGTCAGCGGTGCCTCTGGTATCTACAAGGTTACTCTCTGTCAGCTGGAAGTCAAGCTCTGACAAGTTCTGGACACAAACTTGAACATACTTCCTAACCAGAGAAGCAAAATATGATTTTGACATGTAAAAATTTTATTAAACGTATCTCAACTTTGTTAAGAAGACCCTCACTGATGAGGGCACCATGAAAGTCACAAGGAAAATCATTTCTGCTTTTGATTTTACATGTAAAACCCACAAGAACTCCACATCTCTTCAGAATAAGCTATTCCCGTGGGGAAGGGGATGAGAAGACACCCCGATTCTGACAGTGCCATCACAGCACACTGTGTGGGCCTCCCCAGTCAGGCAGCTGGGTGCAGTGTCCTCTGGGGAAGGACAATGGGAACTTGTCCTCACTGCAAGTCAGGGTTGGTCACTGAGTAGCCAAGTCATCTCTGATACCCGCAGAGCTGTGAAAGTAAGTCTATGGAAAGACACCGCAGATTCTCTGAGGTGATAGAGGTTTTTAATCACATTACTACAGTTCCCTTGCTACGATTTTAAGAAAAAAGCCATTGCTGCTATAATGCTCAACTCTGCATGTCGTTTTAACGTCTTTGCTTCCAGTTTCCCTAGGTATCATGGATGAAGCAGGGATGGTTACAGCAGAGAACTGGGCAGTGCTGAGTGCCAGCCGCCTCACTTGGTCCCCTCCACATGCTGCTGTCAGCGGCAGAGTAGGGCTGACCGCGCCTCCAGAGCAGAGCTCTGGGCTGGGCGATGCAGCCACTCCTGGGGGACCACAGACAGACTGGAGATAGTCCCAGGCATCACACAGGACGGCAGCCTGTGGCACGGGCACGGGGCGGAGGCAGAGCCCAGAGGTGCTGCTAACCCCTCCTCCAGAGTTGAGGACACCCCCCTATAGTAAAGAACCACCAGGCCCCTAATGGCAACGTCTAGGCAGACCCTTCTCCAGAGGCGACCATGCTGAGGAGGAGACCCGAGCAGGGCAGGCAGCCGGCTGAGTTCACGAGACTGTGTGGAGGTCAGATGGTCACATGGCAGCCTGCCAACACGGCAGCAGCCTAACACGCCCAGGAGGGTAAACGCAGACAAGTAACCACATAGGGACCCGTCTGGACCAAGGCCAACCACAAAACGTCACTGGTGAGACAGAACTGAGCATAGACGAGGTGCTATAGGACACCAGAGAACCACTCTGAATTTTACCAGGACCGATGGCAAAGCAGTTATGTAAGAAAGCACCCTAATTATCACGAAGGCCAGCAGCACAGCAGGGAAGAGGCAGGTTCAGATACCTGGTTCTAGCAGAAAGCAGGGAGTGCGTGGTCCTGAAGGGCACATTGAACGTCAGCGCAATGACCGTGGAGTAGATTGACCACGGGCAATCGATTGACACCTGTGGGGAACAGAAAGGGGGACCCCTGCTCAGCCCACAGGCTGCAGGGGCTGTTGGTGTTTGCACCTTTCATAATGGCTGCTCCAAGCACTGCTTATAAAGTAGAATTCTACTGAACACGCATAAACAGCGAGAAATACGAAGCTACGTACACAAAGAACAAAGACAGAATGGACAGGGGCCACATGCCACCAGACTGGCGCAGTGGCTCCAGAGCACATGGGGCCAAAAAGAAACAAAGGTGAAGGCATAGGAGGCATGATACTTCCACATCCCGGAGGGGCATGGCCATCGAAGCATTCCTGCCCTCTGAAGCCAAGCACATAATGGAGAACAGGCCATGTCGGGGCATCGGGGGACAAGGTGTGACTCCTTGAAGGGTGGAAAGGGCACCAGGACTTGGCTTCCGCTCTCCCGTGGAACAACCGAATACCCTGGTATAAACCATCTGTTCAGGACGGAGGAACCCATGCTACAGCAAGCACAGCCAGCAGCTCCTGAGGCTCTGTGCATGAGCAGGGTGAGGAACTTCCTCCCCAACCCTCTGGGCCTGGAACCTCAGCCCCCACCACAGGTATGGGCCTGTCTGACACTCCAAGCCTCTCTCTGTAGAGCGCCTGGGCCTGGGCCTGGATCCTACTGCTCTCCCGCGTGTGCATGAAGAAGTCAGCCCCGCACAGAGCCAGGATCTTGCCACGGAGGATGTGGACACTCTGGCAACGCACAAAGCGTGCCTGGGCTTCTCTGGGTGACGCCCCCCACCCTGTGACACACCCGACTGGCTCCTCCAGTCTCATCCCAGAACTCCCAAGGAACACTCGGGCCCTCACAGTGGACCTCAATCCAAGCTGGGCAACAGGAGTCAAGGCCTGCTGTCCTTCTAGAGTGGCACCTCACAGACAAGAGTGCCCAGCATCAGGTCTGAAGCTACCTCTCGCTAAACAGGTGGATGGATGGGTGGAAGCTGCTGCCACAGCTCCTCGGCCCGCCGCCCTCCCTACCTACCTTGTGGTCAGCGGTGACCATGCAGGGGCTCCCCCTCTGTCTGTCCTTTTGCTTCCTGGGGGGCTCCGGAGTCCCCCGCGTGTCAGTCTCCCTGCTAGATGCTGGAGCTGATGGCAGGGACAGAACCTCCAGCTCAAATTCGATCACATGGTATGCAGGTGTGGCAGGCAGCCCTATGCTTGTGACCTTGTCAGAAGACTGGATCCGGAGCACCGAGGTGGAGGACTCTTCTACAGAGACAGAAAGCACGAATCAGAAGCCTGGAGCCTTCTTGAAGGCAGGCTCCTGCAGTCCTGCACCCACAGGAGGACAAGGGGTAGGTAAGAGCCAGGCCAGGCCAGGGAAAGCTGGAGGCAGCACAGCAGACAAGCTGGCGGGCCAGGAGCCACTCTGAAGGCCGAGACTTCAGGGCCCCGTCCCGTGCGGCTCCAAGGAAAGGACGATGAGGGGCTTGCCCCTTCCGCCTGCATAGCTAGGGATCCGAGGGCTGTGGTCTTGCAGGGCTTCCGACTGCACCTGAGAAGGGTGAGCAGTTCCTGCTTTTCAGAGGGGACGGGTGGGTGGGTGAGGATGGCAGGTGGCCTGTGAAATACAGGCTGGCTGCACCATGTGTTCCCATTGAGGTCAGTACCACCCAGTGTCACACCACAGTCAGTCTGCTCCCCCCAGAATTAGGGCCAGCCCAGTGTCAGGTAAGTCCATCTATGAGCGCTGACCTCAGCTGCCACCTGCCAACGTAGACACAGCAAGTGTCACGACAGGCTAACCAGGTACAGGGGTGCTGAGTCATTGTCACAGCCTCCCAGTATGTGGCCACACCCTGAGCCTACCTGTGCCACACCTGCCTGCACTATACCTCTCGAGTTAGAGTAGATCACGGCTCTATTCTCCCCCTGACACAGGACCAGCATGGCCTCCACGTTGCTCAGCTGCAGGCTGTCCCCATTCTTCACTGTGTAGTGGCCGGTGGTGACAGTGAACTTGACCTTCTGAGGAATACCAGCCAAAAGGCTATCTAAAGGGAACAAGATGGCAGTCAGGGCCTTTGATGAGAGCAAGAGGGGACCCCCGTCTTCCACGGCATGAGATCTGCTTCTCTGGGCTCCCCAGGACCTGCCTCATCTCCATCCCCTCTTCCCTGACTGCTCATGTGTGTGTGCTGCTTGCAGAAGTTCCCTGACTGGGTCAGAAACACAGCAGCAGGGATGGCACTGCTCACACAACCGGAAACGTGGGCAGCAGGTACTGAAGTCTCTGTGAATCCCGGCCCGGGAAAGTAGAAGCAGCAGGCCCGAGACACGAACAGGAAGGGAGCAGAGATAGGACAGGCAGGCGAAGGCTGGCCGGGGGTGGGGGGGACGACAGGGCGCCAGGGGCCTGGGGTGTGGCCCTGCTAGAGCAGAGCTCAGCCCTGCCACCAAGCACCTGCATGATGGATCACCTCAGAGGCACCCTGCTCTGCCTGCAGCTGTCATCCCAGCACAAGTGGGCGCAGAAAGACAGGGAAAATGGGGGGACTCGTTGGAAAATTGTCAAGTAAATGTGCTGCTCCCAGCCTGAACAGCGGCAACTCTCGCTTGCCAGTGCTCAGTTAGGGGCACAGTGCTCTTCAACAGACTGAACATCAGCTCCTAATCCTGGAACTGACCGAAACAGAGGAAGCTCTGCACTCTCGGGTGTGATGCCATAGGGCCAGGCTTCCTCGGTGCACCGGAGGAGGAGCCTCTGCCCAGAGCAGGAGGCGAACCCAGCCCTGACACAGAGCCTTTAACACAGTTCCGGCAGGAAAATGAAGCCTCAATGCCTGCAGCAGACCTTCGCAGACTCCGACTTTCCTACCTTCTCAGACACAGCGCAGTTGTTAAACACCAGAGTCAGCACGACAGGAACAGAAGAGCCCCAGGCTCCACCCTGCTAGGCAGGGAACCTCAAAGGCCGCCAGGCAACCAAGTCTGCGCCCCCACCCCTCCCCCTGCGCTGGTTACAGTGGCTTCCTGAGTACCCCGGGCACCACTCACCAGCCAGTGGCTCCACATGCAGCTGGGGCTCCTGAGAATACACGTCATACTGCACGATGGGGTAGATGTGTGGAAGCACGAACCACACGGGACCCACTGAGGCGCACAGCTGCCGCAGTGTGTACGTTCCCGGCTCCTTGGCCTAGAGTCAAAACAGGCACTTGCAAGGACAGCAGAGAGTGGCGCACAGAAGAACCACAGTCTTCCGCCCCATGCACCCGCATCGGCTCCTGAAAGACTGGGCCAGAAGCCTGCAGTCTCAGAGTCACTGATGCTTCTGTTCAGCCTTATGCTTCGAAGGAGGCGGTTCCAGGGAAAGGAGCTGTGATGGCACCCGCTATGAAGGCAGTCAGGAGACTCGGGGATGCACAGCCCACTCTGGGGCAAGCCTGGCCAGTGAGAGTGCTGTCTTGCCAGAGGTGAGCATATGGGCACACTGCATCCGAGGAAAGCACATCAGAGTGGCCCAGAGGCAACTGCTGTTCAGACCCAAGGCCTTTGCACTGAGATACATCCCTAGCCCCGTTTTTTATTTATTCATTTAATCTTTTCGTTCTGAGACAGGGTCTTACTAAGTTAGCCAAGGGTTTGAACTTGCAATCCTCCTGCCTCAGCATCCCAGAGTACTGGGCACCACGCTCAGCCAGAGGCAACTGTTTTGATACTGATGCATCCAAAAAAGGAAAAGATTTCAAAGTGACTGTGCCATCTTTAAAATCTCAGGTTAGCAAATGAGGATGATGACTGCTATACAGGGGAAACTGCTACTGAGTCCGGTCAGTTAAAAAGCAAATTGAATCCCCAGACAAGCATCTATATAAAGAACTCCATTCCAAATTAATCAATGGCCAAGAAGTGACAAATAAAAAAGACTTCAAAAATTTTCAGTGTATTGTTCCCCAAGGATAAAGACAAAAATACAGTGAGCCAGACAACAGGCTCCACCTGGGCCTTCTCCAGAGCCGACTTACCTGAGTCCTGAATGCTATCCTGTTGGCCCCAGGCTCCAGGGTCACGCTGCTGCACCTCAGCACGTGCGCCCCATCCTCCAGGGTGACCCCCGAGGGCGCCTCTAGAGAAGAGCCGCTCTCCTGCCTCCGCAGCAGCATGTGGACGTTTCTGCAGATAATGCCCGTGGTGTTCAAGGAGTTGTCGGAAGGGCTGCGCTCGAACATCTCTGACAGCTCCAGCGCAGGCAAGCTGTTCTGGGAAGCGGGGAGAGGGGAGACCTCGGCAGGGAAGTGGATGATCCCATTGGGCGTCTTGTGCTTCGTCAGCCACTCAGCGGTCTTCCGGTAGCTGTTCTTCTCAACGCTGAAGTGGACATTGACAGCGATCTGGTCTACACACACAGGGACCGGCATGTGGCTGCACACGGTCATCTCCAGGCACAGGGTGCCACCCGCGTGGACCACGGCGTGGGGAGGGTCGAAGTGCAGGTCCCGCAGCTGTGCGAAGGAGTGCATGGGCAGCACCACCTTGTGACCTGGGAACACAGACCGTGTGTCCTGCCCCTGCCACCGCCTTGGAGCCAGCAAGGCCTCCTGCCACCACCACATCCCAAGAGGGTCTTTGTCAACATAAAAATGTAAATGAATACACAGGTGACTCAGGGAAATTATGAAAATAACAGAAACTAACTGGCATGGCAGACTTAAAGAGAAACATGTCAACTAACTCAAATTCAAAGCTTGTCACGGCACACTTCCTGAAGTTGTCTCGGGGTCCCCACACTTTCTTGCCTACTTAAAAGTCTGAAAGAATGATGCCAGGAGCCCCACAGTCCATGAAGCCAGCCAGTGAGGCTCCAACCCAGGACCAGGGAAGCATCAAGCTCTGTGGTGGCTGTGTGTGGAGGGTGCGGAGAAGACACTGCGCTCCTGGCCTTCTGACCTCCTTTCTACAAGCACCTTGGTTTGGTCAGGGGAAGGAAAGACTGCAAAACCAACTGGTGAGCATTTCTTAGCTATTCATGGACTACAGGAGGGGCTGGAGACACAGCTCAGTGGCACAGCACGTGCTCAGCACGCACAAAGCCCCGGCTCCATCCCCAGCACTGCAAAAGAGAAAAAAGGGAACAGCTGATCATGAACTGAAGGAGACTGGCCAAGTGACTGTAAGATCAGAGAGGAACAGTAAACAGTGATGGACTACGTGATCCACATGGAGATGCCATGGAATGCTGGCAGGACCGTAACTCAGCCATCTGCCACACAAGCCAGCAGCAGGCACGGCCATGGTGTCAACAGTCCAGTCCGTTCCGGTACATTGCAGAGCCAAGAGCCGCCAGGGAAACTCATCCAGGAGGCGCCTCTTCAAGGGAACCCCCCAAGTCAAGGACCTCGCAAACCCAGAGCCAAAGTCTCTAGAAAATTCTTGTTCCTATGGTCAGTCACTGCCACAGATTGGACCATGTCCTCCAGGCACATGCAACAAAGCCCTGATCCCAACTAAGACAGTGTATGGAGATGGCTGGGAGCTGCCGACTCAGGATGAGGCCAAGGGGCTCGTGATGGGTCAGTGTCCACAGGACAGTCGCCACGCAGCCTGCTCTCTTCTGCCAGCATGAGGACTCAGGAAGCCAGGAAGAGGCCTCACCAGAACCTTAGCCTCTACATCTGACCTCCACCGCCAGCCTCCAGAGCTCAGAGGAGAGAAAGCCCTGGCCACAGTGTTTCATTACAGCAGCCGCAGCACAGTGACCCGCAGCTACTGTAGGAACTGCTCCTCTCGGTATAAGGAGCTACACGGTATAATAGTTGCGCTGTTATCAAGCGTGGTGTCCAAATGCTGAGCCTGAATCTAAGCCTTCCTGAGCACACTTGTTTAGATGCTTCCCTGAGGAAACACTGTAATAGATCCCGGAAGGGTCTGGGCTGTGAGACAACCAGCTCAACCTGATGCTCTCCAAGACAGAAACAAACACTGCCACATGCCACTGAGGGCAAGCCTTGGACGCATCAGGACATGCCATGCGGGTCCCGAGACCAGCAGGTCTGATGGCAGAGACAGGGTAGCTGGAGGTTGGTGGAGCTGGGGGTGGGGGAGCATGGGTTTCTTTCTGGGGTGATGGCAGCGCTCTAAATGGGGTGGTGGTAGATGCACACAATTGTGGATACACTAAAAGCCAAAGGGAGGGATCATGCTAGGTAGGCTCTACCTCAGTAAAGCTGACATGTTCAAGAAGTTAATGTTGCAAAAAAAAAAAAAACCAAACAAACAAACTGAGAATAGCTGTTCTGAACTGAAGAGAATTGGGATATAACAACCACATGCAGTATGAAGTTCCCTGTTGGCCTCTTTTAAAAAAAAAATTTCTAGAAACCTTTTTTAATAATTAGGGAAATTTGAATATGGACCTCTTAGGAGATGATATGAAAACCCTATGAACCCCTTGGGGTGGTTAGGAAACCACCGATGCGTATTTTTTAGAAGATATATGTTAAGCTGTTTGTAGATGTATGTTAAGCTGTTAAGTAGCATTTCCTTAAATTTCAGCAAAAAGAGAGAAGAGAGACATGCACGCTTGCTGCACACCAAACTAATCGAAGTGTTAAACGCTGACTGCAGATAGCTGGTATACTTTGTAATATTATTTTTACTTTTCTGTAATTTGTGAAAATGTCCACAACTAAGTTTTTGAGGGTTTTTATGGGTTTTTTTGAAGCGAGGTCTCACTATGCAGCCCAGGCTGGCCTCAAACTCACAGCAATCTTCCTGGCTCAGCTCCTACTCATAATAAAGCGGAAACACGAAACTCACCCGGGCTCTCTGCAGGCCACCCAGCAAAGCTGAGGATCTCCTGGCAGAAGTACTTCCGCTCCTCCTCGCTTAGGTGGTGGTCGCTGGCCAGGAGGCTGCTGGTCTGCAGGTAGCTGGGCCGGGGTTAAGGGGCCGGAGGAAGGGCCTGGCACTGAGGACACGGGGACAAAAGGCGCCCTGGGCTCCCCACGCCTTCAGAGGGTGGCCCAAGGGGCTTTTATTGTTAGTCATTGGAAAGTCAAAATTAGATTTACAAAACATTAATGAGGCATTTTCATATTCTACATGTTATACATATCACAGGATTTTCTCCTCAATATTAGCATTATTAAATACTCGATGGTGAATAATGCTGTTATAAAAATAGAAAGCATGTACCGGTACAAATTCCCTATGATGAATATGAACATTATGTATATCTAAACTGTACCAATAAACTTAACTTTAAAAATCCAGCAAGCAATTTTCCTACTTGGTGAAAATACAGGCCATAAAGGATACTTCTCAACCTGCCCAAGGTGCTTCTGGCATTCGGCAAGCTGCTTCCGGGTATGCGTGACAGGCAGGGCCCAGCCCTCGGCCAGGTAGTTTTTTAGAGCTCCCTGAAGGTAGCTCTCAGCCTTCTGCGGAGACCTTTTCCTCCTGGCAACAGCAGCAGCAAAGAGAGCTCTCCTTAGGACGGGGAACCCGTGCTCGCCCTCCACAGGCCTTGGGACTGGTGCACTCCAGGCCGCCCCAGCCCTCCTGCCACACCCACGAGACAACTGGGTGGTCCCCAGGTGAGCTGGGAGTTCTTCCCAGCAATCCACGTCCCTCATACAGATTCACGTACCTAAATTACTTTATTATAGGTTTAAGATCTCATTTCAAACACCTATCTTTTTTTGGAAAATGTGAACAGAAGCACAATGCCAGCCAGGGTCTCTTCTCGTTCATAGGCTGATTTTATCCAACACCGAAATTAACCTAAATTTTAGGTCTTTTTCTCTGGTATCAAATTCCAATGAAGTCTGCACACCACATTACAGCAGTCCCTAGACCATTCCCTCACCCCACACCTCCCTCCACCACTCCCTCACACTGCCACATCACCCCTCCCCCACCACACACCGCCACGCCACACCCCTCCACCACCCCCTCACACCACCACCGCCAGCCACCCCCTTCACATGTACCCAACATACATGGTCGTTTCCCATCCCCGGCCTTGATGGTCACAATCCTCAGAACTGTGTCATCAACTAGAGAAAACTACACATTCAGCTGAACTTGGCCTTGGGGGCAGATTCTTAAATCCTTTCTCATGATGGAGTTATAATATTTTATGTGTGTGTATAAAATTAAATAAACTTAATTAAATATGAAAACTTCAAAGACCAATATCAGTTATTAAAGGTAACAACTAAAAACTGTCCATTTGGATTTCAAAAAAAAAATAAAAGAAGAATCATGACTAGTTCAGATTCTACATTTTTCAATCCACAAATTTATGTATACTTTACATTAACTCCATACATACATCTTTTCCACTACATGTGTGAAATGTTCAAAACTAAATGAAAATACTTAAGATCAATTACATGTAAAATTCTGCCAGATCTTTCCCAATGAACCTGGCAGACCGGATCCTTCCAATACTTGTGTACATTTCTATGGCAGCATGGGACAAGTCCTGTGGAAAGCAGAGGGAGGCAGAATTATGTACTTGAATTTTTAACACTAAACCTTAATTTATTTACCCAAAAATGAAGCAAGAGACATCATTTGCATAACATTCTTTACTTGACATCTATTTTTATTTTGTTTTTCTGTAGTACATAATGTCCACAAAGCCAGTGATCTGTGCAGGTATCATGAAGCTCACTGATAAAGAGAATCCCTGAACTCACCCAGCACTGAACACAGAACTCTTCAAAGCACCTCTGCAAGTAGGTGCTCTGATATACCCCTGTCTGTCTGACAGGAACTCCTACCTCTCAGGTGCTGTCAGGGGGCCATGGCCTGGCAGTCGAGCTAACCCCTGATGATTCTACCCATGATGCTGTTCGGAATCTCCGTAGTCTGAAGCTTTTAACATCAAGCACCACACCTCTCTGCATAAGTACACACGGTCCCCCTTTTACAAATTAAAGTACTCATGTTCCCCTCTCACAATTTCCAGCTCTTAAAATTACAGGTATTCAAAGATGCATTCATGCCTAACTGTGGCATGAGGTACCAATAAATATTTGATCAACAATTGCCCCATCTTTGTCACAGCTCCCTAGCATAGCAAGGACCAAGCAAGGGCCTAGGAAAGGGTCTCCAGCCCCAGTGCACCCCAAGACAAAGGCCCTGCTGAACAGCAAAGGCTCTGGAGGCAGAGCTGCACCCCGGGCCAACACATAGGGCTCGCAACACTTACTAAGTAGTGCTTCTCGAAAGCTTCCACTGATGACAGCGCCTCCTTGAGTTTCTTGTAAGGACTCTGAGCTGCGTTGGCTTGAACAGAGAGAGAAAAGAGTCCTTATTCATCTGCATCATGCACAGCCATGGGTTTATGGTTTATACTCACCTTTCAACGCTGAGGACGTAGGCCGAGAACCTTACCTTTTTTTTCAATGCAGTAGTAGGGACTGAACCCAGGGCTTTTGTACTGAGCTACATCCCCAGTGTCCCCCCACCACAGTCCTTCTAAAGTATTTTTTTATCTTGAGACAGTCTCACTAAGTTTTTCAAGCTGGGTTCAAACTTATGAACCTCCTGCCTCAGCCTCCTAGGATACTGGGATTACAGGCGTGTGCCCCCACACCAGGCTCTCATCTCAATCTTGTTGAAATTTCAAACAAAGCCACACCAACAGAAACTACATTATCATGTCTATTGTTTTCCAAGTAATGTATTTGCGAAATGCTCTAAATCCTTCATAAAAAACTTTGCTCTGACCACTGAGACCAGACTTCTCAGAAATCCATTATGACATACACTCCAACACACTAGATTACTCCCACAATCTTCTGCAATGGCCAAGCAGTGCCACGAAGACAAATCCCCGAAGTCCCCCAGGCAGCAGGGCTCCCACCCACCTGCGCTCTGCACACACTTCAGTGACAGCAGTACCTGTTTCAGGCCGTTCAGCTCCCAGGCCTGCCAAAAGGTCAACTGTCCTGTTCAAGTCTTCAGAGTTAGGTCCTTTTTCTGACACAAGTCCACACAGGTAGCCCAAAGACCTTAGCTGTTGAGATAAACCCTAATTTCAATTACTTTGCCATGAGAGTCAGCACAGAACTCATGAACTGAAACACAAAAATTCAAATCCAGCCCTGCAGCCCCCCGCTGCATGTGCCCACGAGCACAGCTGGCCCTGCTGATTCGCTGGCCTGGCGTGGAACCCCTTGCACAATGAACGGTAGGCAGCAGGAGCCACGACCTCCTCACCACATCCAGATGTACTGCAAGGTCACAGGAGCCACGTCACCTGTCACTTGGGCACCCTCAGGGACAATGTGAACGCTGGACAAGGCAGCAGGTACCTTTTCTGTGGCATAGCTCCACAGCCCCACTGTGTGAGCGATGTTGGAGTCTATCTGTGCCCGGTCGCAGCAACCTTCTATCCTTTGCAGCACCTCCAGACAGCTCAGAAACACCCAGCAGTCCAGTGCGCCTGGCGGGACCACGACCTATGTGGCACAAATGCAGGCAGTGAGAACGGACCACGAGCTCTGGCTGGAATGCTCACCCTAACAAGGCCCGGTGTGCACAGCTGCAGGGAAGAGCAACCATTACCCAACCCACACAGACAGAAAAGAGGCGCCCTATGTCCAAAAGCATCTTTTTTCAGTACCAGGAATTGAACTACAGGACCTCGAGCTGCTGTGCCACTGAACTACATCTCCGGACCCCAAATACATCTTTGGCATTCAGTATTTGATAAGAAGGATGACTCCGCAGAGACAGTTTACAGTTGCATAATCTGAACCTGATTAAGAAGCAGCCTACAGAAAGGCCAGTTCTCACACGCCAAGCACAAGAGCTGCTCACATCTCCATGTGTACAGAGGGAGGGAGGGGTAACTGCGGGTGCATTTAGTGTTAGTGTTCACCCGCAGGAAGGCAGGCGAGTAGCCAACCCACAGCACTGAGGAATGACAACTGATCTAGATGCAGCCAGGTGTGTGTGCCTGTCCAAACCCTAACCCTAACCCTAACCCTAACCCTAACCCCTGTTGCTCAGATAGGCGTTAGAGTATTCACAGACAAATGCAACAGAACACCAGGTTTGCCTGGGTATTCATCAAGGGGCATGGACAGGGAAATAGGAAGCTGGCCGTGCACCGCTAAGTGTCCCAGCTGCTGGTGGACACTGAGAGGTCCTTAAGAATATCCTCCCTAGCTCTGCATATAGCTCAGCTTTCCATTTTAAGACAATAAAGCTGCATTGTCAGAAATGCAAGAGCATCTGATCTGACTGCTTTAACAGTATTTGCTCACCTTCTACCACCTGTGAAGTGGGAACATATCTCACCACCACCAGCAGCTTAGTCCTACAGTTGATGGCAAAGCCAGCTTTTCCCTGGTGGCACTGAATGCATGATGTACTCCAGACTGGCATCTTGGTTTCGGTGAACTATACTACTTGACATCAGTCAAGGTGGGGACGTGATCGGGGTTCCGCATCAGTGGACAAGTGAAGGCGCCTCGTGCTGACAATGGGCTCTCAGGAAGCCGCCCTCCAGACACTCTGAGCACCAATAAAAGTGAAGGCTCAGAGTTCACTGAGGAGAAACAAAATGCCTCCAATGTTTCCGGGACAGCGAAACTGCCCAACTTTTGAAAGACACGATAAACAGTTTACGTGCATTGAAAAAGTATCAGCATAGGAAAAAATGCAGAGAGCTTGGCACTGTAGCCAGCAGCGCCCTCATCCATTAAACTAGGACAGGAAGGGGCTCTTCTGAGACACCTTGATCCCGATTCCATGCGGCCTTTGTGAACATGACAGTCACCTGCATTCAGGCTGGGGACAAAAAGACCTCCTGGAGCAACAGGAGGCTCGTACAGATCTGAGGTCTACATAACACCCTGGGCTAACAGTCATCTGACTCAGACAAACCCAGGGAGGGCAACACAGTGCAGAGGCAGAGGGAGGTCAGCAGCAAAGGGCCCTGCGGTGCAGGCACAACCAGGAGAGCACCTGGCGGCGCGCCCATCAGAGCCTGAACAGCAAAGGTGCGCCCCAAACCCACCGTCAGCCAGGCCAGCACAGGTGATTCCATCGAGCAAGCATCATTCAGAAAGTGGAAGGACACATAGCAGTGGCCTTTCTTTCAAAACTGCCAAATTAGCGGCAGCCAGGGGATGCTGAGGCTCCAACTTCAACCTCCAGCTTGGAGCTGCCTCATCTCCTAGCCCACACACACAAGGAGCAGACTCAGGCTTTACTGTGTAGCTGAAAGCCGGAGCTTCTCAGAAAGCCCTGCCCCTTGGAACACACACCTCCGTACCCATCACAAGCGGGCATGGCCCTGGCTTCCCCGAGCTGCTCTGGGGGATGGTTTTCAGAGAGCCCCGCAGCCTCCTTCACTTCCTAGGACACCATTCTACACTTGGGCTTTTCCTGAACGAAAGGACACACATGTGAGTTGACACCAGAGGTATCTATGGTACCGCAGGGGCCGTTCACCTCTCATCTTATTATTACTTTTTTAACGTTACTATGAACTGTGTGGTGGCCTGGCCCCCAAACTGACCCAAGGGAACTCACCAGGGTTTGGGAAACTCTGCCCCTTCTCACATCCCAGGGCCTGACAGGGGTGGGCTGCAGGGCAGTGGGTCACCTAAGATTCCAGACATTTTAATGAAACAAATTTAGTGAAAGTATAATTACAGTAATATCTTTGCACTGCTTTGAAAAATAAGTTACATAGAGGGAGTTAAGGGGCATAAATCCTACATCCAGTGCTCAATCAATTCTTACATGTGTAACCACTGCCTAAGGAATAAAATGCGTGCCTTTCCCTGAAGGTGCTCTTGCACCTCTCAAAGCCCCTCTCGTAGCCCTGCCTAGCTCTGAGCAGCACACACATGGCTCCTGGCTCAGCAGCATCCACAACCCCTTTCTGTCAACAGGCCGATACCGAGCACTGCACTATCCTAGTGCTCACCCACTCTGAGTGTGTCCGTTTGCAGGGCTGCTCCTGCTCCAGGGAAGCCTTCTGTTATGATTGACACATTGTATCAACCTGGCCTGGCTCAGTGACTTAGCAGTTCTACATCCGGGGTGTAGAGGACATGCCCCTACTCTTCTGGGATGCAGGTTTTTTTTGTTTTTTTGTTTGTTTGGGTTTTTTTTTCTCATACCAGGAATTGAACTCACGACCATTGAACTCATGACCTTGCAGTTGCCAGGCAGGCACTGTGCCACTGAGCTAAATCCCCAGCCCCACCCTTCTGGGATGTGGCTCATTGTGTCAATGTGAGAAGTTTAGAGGGTAAACTATGTGACTCAGCAGGGGGCCAGGGTCCTTACTTTGTATTCATCCTGAGCCTGTGCAGGCAGAGGGCCTGGAGATGGTGTGAGTGCCACACGCCCCTGGGTGGGGATGGCCAGCTTACAATATAAGGGAGGGAAAGAGGCCTGCTTCTGCCCCCCACCCCCGCCTTTGCTCTCGTTTTTGCTGTCTTCCACAGCCATGAACTGTTGCCCTCTGCCATGCGCCACCCTAACTCGGAGCCAGCCGAGTAGGGACTGAAACCTCCACAAACTGTGAGCTAAATAAACCTTTCCTTCCCTAATTTTGAGTGTAAGTCGGGCATTTTGTCTCAGCAAGGAGAGAAAAGTTACCAAGACACCTTCACAGACCCAGAAACATGCCCATCCAGCCAAGGCTACAGCAGCCTCTGCACATACCCCTTACCCCGCCCAGGAAACGCAGCCAGGAAGGAGCTATCCATTGGAAGTTCACTGCCTCCTCTAACAGCCACTCCCCACACAAGGCCAGTGCAAAGGGCCTGAACACAGAGGGGCATGTGATCCGCCCCAAGAGTCTCTGTTCTGCCTGGGGCCAGCCTGTGTCCCTTGGGAAGGGCACCACCCCAGAACCCACACAGTCCTGGGCACAGCAGGCAAGATGCTCTGCCTCAAAGCCTCCCACTCGGGACTGGGTGGGGTCTCACCATCTCCTCGTAATTCCCAGTGCCCTCACGAGACAGGATGGCAAGCCCCTCCACACTCTTCTTGGCCATTTTGACTCCCATCATATGAAAACGACAGACTGCTCAACCAATTTCTCAACATACTTTCTGTAATTTCTCTTCAAGTCTTTGTCTCCTGCTTACCATGATATTAATGCCAGGAGCCATTCACCATTTTAAAGAATAAAATTAACTGTATCTTTTCACCCTTTCCTGTGTCTACACGCCCATACTGGGTGCTCTGCAGCCCCAAGCTGTCACCACCCCTCCACAAGTCACTGCTGACCACTCACCACAGAACAGTTTGCCTAAGGCAGACCTTCGCAGAGAGGAGCGACTGTGTCTGGCTTCTTCAGCAGCACTCAACGTTGGTAAGACTCGCCTCACACCCCACAGTCCGTTCACTTTTGGTAACAAAGCAGGGTAACAGCATCCCTGGCATGTGCTGGACACAGGAGCTCTCTCCACAGCAAGGGACAAGGCACGCACCCGCGCAAGCGCCTGCACTGCTGCTATGAACACGGCTTCTGTGCGCAGCGGAGCGGGACTGCGCCCGTGGAGCACAGGCACGTTTTGCCACAGCAGAGATCGCCAGCCACTTTTGTGAAGCAGGGCCAGCATTCGTGCTGTTGCTGTCATCAGCAGGGTAGCTCTGATCTCCCTCACTAACACCTGCCCAGCCTGCTCACTGTGGCCACCTGGCAGCGAGCACTGGTGTTTTGAGAAGGTTCTGGCTTGGGCTCTTCTGTGCTTGGGGAGCCTGAACAACACCTGTGTGTGTGCTAGCTGGAGCCCCAGGCAGCCCATTGGCCTATGTGTCTGTGCATACAGGAGCCCTTCCTGCATCCAAGGTAAGAGTGTCCTGTTGGCTACACACAGTGCCCTGTTGCCTGTCTCTTCCCACTCTGTGCCCTGCCTTCATGGGTATCTGCCGGTGACAGATACAGGACTGCTGTGCCCTAAGAAATTTATTCACCTTATGATCACAGCGATACTCTCCCATATTGCCTTCCAGGGCTCTCTTTTTACTGTAATTTCATGCTTAGATCAAAACCCCAGCTGGAACTACTTCTGTCTGTGGTAGAGAATTAGGACTTTTCATATGTGGTACCCAGCAGGCTTAGCAGCACTTCCTGAAGAAACTCTCAAATCCATTCACTTAAGATCTACTCAGTGTCACTAAGATCTCTCAGCAAGGAGAGAAAAATTACCAAGACACCTTCACAGACCCAGAAACAGCTTTCCCATCACTGGGAAAGTCAGCTTTTCCATCCCATGGGAAAGTCAGCTTTCCCATCACTGGGACTAAAAGCTGACACCTAAAGTAACATAAGGCAGAAGACAGTTTATTTCCTCGCGGTTTTAAGAGATTCGGACCAAAATTAGTTGGCTCCAAGGCAGAAACACCATGGTGGCAGGGCTTTACAAAGCAATGCCACTCCCCCTGGTAGCCAGGAAGCAGAGCAGGGAAACAGTGCCAGAGAGGA